ATTTCTCTACCGATTTCAGAAAAGTTTTTTATGTTTGAATATGTGACGATGCCAATCCTGAAAAATGATCAAGCAAAATATTAGGTACGATTTCTTCGATAAAATGTAGCAACATAGACTGGCTTGTGGAAGATCGGCGTTAAAAAATCAATACATTCAACCATTGCTGATAAAAAACTTTTTTTGCAACAGTCCAGTTTTGCTAGACCATAATTTGTGTTTAAAGTAGATGGGATAGTAAAACTTGTGTGATGTTGGCACCAACTTTCTTTTCTTCGCCGGGATTTGAACTAGTAAACTTACATACGAAATTAAAATAGCTGTAACTTCGCTAATATTTGTCCGAAATGAACGATTTTTATAAAGTTTTGTAGGTAATTTAATTAACTTTTGTATTATTTTTACCAGAATATATATACCTAGGGAGTTAGGCTCCAAAACACTTTTATATTTACGAATTTACCACATTTACGAAGATTATAGGAAAGTTTTATCAAAATCCGATTTTGCGCTACAGTCTATAGAAAACATCTTTTTCACTTATTGTGCAAGGAGCACCCAGTCCTTAAAATAAGCAGCAAACTCAGCCCACTAGTTCCCGAGATAATCTTGGCACAAATAGACAGACAGACAGACGAATGGCTAAAATGTGTTTTTCGGACTCAAGGAGCTCTGAAACGCAAAGATCCGTCGAAAACCGCACATCTTAACTTTGATCTGATGTCATTACTTTTCTTAGCTTATACCTCAGAGGTAGGAAAGTAATAACATATGCGTAAAAACGTATATAAAACCGTACCTCAAACCTCGTACATCCTCGTACCCCTGGTCATTGGAAATTCGTACTAGTGTAGACCCAATATTATTGTTTTTTAAAAGTAAAATTAGATTAGAGCATTGCTTATTACCTCTATTCACATATTTTAAAGCTTTTTTACATTTTTTTTTTTAAGTTGATGAGTCAATAAGTAAAATGAGTTTAACTTAAAGCCCGAAATTAAATACATGAAAAAGCGCATATAGTTTTTAGAAACTATTGGAAAACTTTAGAGAGATTAAAATAGAAATTTAAAGGATACAATATGCCTATCATTATTGAAAATAAACAGTATTGATAATAATATATAGTAATTTTTTTTTCTTCTACTTACTTAGAACTATTTAAATGAATTATGTAACAATCGTAGTTTTATGAAGGAAATAATCATTATAAAGAAAATAATGGATATACTTTCTTATATTTTATACTCGATAAAAATTGAAAATATTTTTTTAAACTGACGGTAACACTTTTTTTTTAAATATTGGTCTCTAGAAAATTAAAAAAAAAAAACAAGTATATAATCACTGTTTTATGAAGGAAATAATAATCATACTACAGTTTAATTAGATATAATTGCAATTTATTTGTCTATAAAGCAACAGAGGTTAAGTATTATTTATTAGTATAAATAATAAAACAGTAAAAATAATTGTAAAACAAATCTAAAATTTATACTAATAAAGATATTATTATCACATAATCAGTAAATTAGATACGAGGTACGAGGTTGGTCGATCCTCGTAGCTCGTACAATACGTCGTAAACTGGTACAAATACGAGTATCCTCGTATGAACGGCACAAATACTCTGGCTCTCTTTATACATAATGTTTATAAAGTGGCCCTGAGTAGTTGTTGACCAGGGGCAGGATATACAGTACCCGCATCACTGAAACGCTGAGCGGTACTAGTATCACATTCTACATTCAGGCGCAGGCCGAGATTTCTTGTTTGAGAGGCCGAACATATTGGCATAAAAGTATAATTTGTTCTTCTGATTCTCCATATATTTATTATTATTATTATTATTATTTTTCAGAAGAACTTTTATATTGAGGAATACTAAAATCTTTCTCAAAGGACATTTATTCTAGTATCACAACTCATATTATGTACTCAATTCATAGATCACAACATTCATATTATGTACAATAAATTAAACATAAAAATAATGTGTATATATATACAATAAATCAGAATTTATTAGTTAATTTTAAAAAGTTGAATTTCCACTTAAATCTTTGGAAATTTCATTTTATCTATAATAATATTTTTAATGAATTTCGACATAGTTTATATAAAGTTGTAATATTTATATTAGTATTAAGTTACTTCCTTTATTTTATTTAGGTGGATAGATGAAGTAAAAATGATTTATTTCCAACTGTTAAATTATGAAAATATGAAGAACGTTTCATTATATTTTAATCATGTGTTTTAATCAAGAAACGAACCCGGTGGTGTTGTAATAATTTATTTTTGTTTTATATCTACTGGATAGGCTTGTATATCTGGGCAACGGGTGATATTTTCCAGAAAGAAACCTTTGAAGATATTTTCTCTTAAGGAAAGAATTTCGTTGTGTAAGGACTAAACCCCTCCCCCTATAGCGTGCACCCGGGGCGACCTCTACCTCACTACCCCAGCCATTTCCTCTTCTCGTTTCACCGCCTCCTTAATCTATGGCCAGCATTTTTTCTCCTTAAACTACATTGCGATTTATGTTTCTTGGAACCTTATAAATATGCCACCAGCTAAATAAATTTACTCTTGTATAATGATTAGATGTATTTTATTTCAAAGGCGTGCGCAGCTTATCGTTCAAAGTTTTTCAATAAAATTCTCTAAGCTCTTTTTATATTTTTTTATCTATAATATACAGTTAGATTTTATTTTCAGCCATAACGGTAAACACGGTATGGAATATAATTAAACTAAATGATTATAAGAATTATGTTCTAAGGCTTTATTCAATTGGTATTTTGTTTTCTTACCCAATTGAGTTAACTATAAAATGTTGAAACTTTAACTAGATTTTTTGCATTTGGGGTGACTACTGTTATGTAATTGAGTTATCCACTAAAAGTTATGTAACGATTTTTTGAGCGATCGACAGAACCTATTTTCAAGTATGTCGATGGGGTCAAATTATTGAATGAGAACGCGTGAGTTTTGGTTCAAAATCTCAACAAAGTCAGTTTAAAATGTGTTTTTAAAGATATTCCCATAAAGTTAGTTAATTATTTTTTGAGAGAACGACTGAACTGATTTTTCTGTTCGATGGCCTAAATTAATCAGTGAGGTCTCTGGTCTGGAACTTTTCCCTACACGTAACGACTTCTGGCAAGTAGATTTCGTTCCATGTCAACTTCCGTAAGTTTTGTGTTTCGTGATCGGCGAGAGGATCGGAAGACATCAAAATACTACGCCGAGTTAAAAATACAGAGATAACAATTTTCCTAACTATCTATCAAGGTGTTTAAGTATATATGGAAGCGTCGGGTTGGCCGAATGGGCTAACACGTGTGCACAGCACTGCCGTTGACCGGCAACCTGACATATGAGACGATTGATATAAAATAGTCACGAGTTCACGTCCCGGTGCCGGGGGAGTCGTTTAAATCCCCGTCAACTCCTCCTAGCCCACGAAAACTCCTAGCTGTGTAGCCTTAAAGGCGAAAAAAGGGAGGGCCGAAAAAAAATATAGATATGAAATATCATTCTCTTAGAATGGACAGGTTCTCCCGATATATGTAGTCGTTTTTTCTTTATTTCATGTATTCCTTTTATTTCTAAAATTACAGATAATACATTTTAGTTTCTTATCGCTTATACATCTTAATTTATTGTTTTATAAAATAGGCACTCAAAGATTTATTATTTAGCGAAAAATACGCACAAAACAAAATACGCATAACTTCACAGACATAGCAACGGATTGATAAACGACTTATGTTTAATTTATTATGTCAATCCCTTCCACGGCTGTTAGGGATATTTACATTATAATTCTGCATTAATATCTGGTAATAGAATTTATTTCTAGTACTGTAAAATTAAAGAAGTTAATGGACCAACGAAGATGTAAAATTGATTGCTTTATTTTAAATAATTTTGGAATCTATACACTGTTTAAATACAGGTGAGTTGGGATATTTGTATTTTTCCTTTTCTTCTATTTGCCAGTATTCTTGTTCATCTTCTCTCTCTTCCTTTCTTGGCCCCTTGCCGGCCGCTGTAGTTTTTTATTCCATGTTCAGTAAATCAGTGGAATTAAGAATTTTCTTAGTGTGAGCGTCCACGCTTCAGTCATGGCGGACACTCCATAACATCTGAGATATATAGTTTATATGCTTGAGATCGCATCTGTGTTGTTTATTTCTTGATTTAATTTAATTGGGAAGTTTAATTTGCTTCCTAAACAACTTGGATAGCCTACATATCAAACAGAAGACAGAAAGGAGCTATGTGAGAGATATTTCCTAAATTAAGGAACTAAATAAAGACTGGAAAGAGGTGCTGCTAAGTTCTCATGCCTAAAATGCCAAACCCAAATTAAAAAAAACAACACATTACGTATAGTTGTTTGCCGTAAGTCATTAAGGGCAGTTTTATTGTTAAAAATGTTGGATTAAAATTACTGTAGTTTTTGTAAGTACCTCTGTTTTGCTGAACCGTAAATATCCTGGCAGATTTTAGTAGGTAAGTGTACTATTTAATTTTAGTCGAATTTTGATTTCTGAAAAAAAGTGAGTACAATATTTTTAGTAGCTTGTTTAAATTATGTCTTTATTTTGATGTGTGGGCACCAAGTCATCCTTGTGTCGAATACTAGTAAGTTACTAAGGTAACGCGTTGTGTTTTCATCAATTAAAATTTATTTCTCACAATTGTATAAATGTCGTTGGAGTTATTTTTTAAATGTTGTCCTATATTTTATATGTATACACAAATAATTTTATTCACTTTGTTGCATTTACTCACCAGAAAAAAAATATTAAAAATTTATTTAAAAAAAAATATTAGAAAAAGAGGAACCATCCATACGAAAAGTAAATATTTAGAAAGTATCAAATAAGAAAAGAACAAGTTCCAAAGTCGAATATAGAACCATAGGATGTAACTGTTATTGTCAGTGTTCGAGTGATTTCATTAAAATTATGAATGAAATATGAAATTTATGAATGAATAAATGCTGACCTGTACTTCCCCCAGTCCATGTAGGCCTGGTAGAGGTAGCCGAGGAGGATGAACTTGTCGCTCCTCTTCCTTATCCTCTTGAGGGCGCTTCTCCACTTGGTAACCGCCGCCTGCTGCTTGTGTTGGTTATAGAGCCGGAGTCCCTGCTCCACCTGTTGGCAGTCAAGTCAATATAAAATACTACAATATAATCTATTTTCATATTGAATCTACAAAAAATTCAATATTTAAAGAATAAAATACATTTTTGGATTGATTTTCGACCGGTTATGGGGTGTAAAGAAGTTAAATTTTCATGTGATCCGATTATTTTGAAAAAAAAAAATCAATTTTAGTACTGATAACACCAGTGAACGTAGAGCGGCATGAAAAAGTCTTTGAACAAACTTTTTTTTGTCTATAAAAATGTATTTGCTCCTGTAAACCTATAGTTGACAATCAACAAATGTGGCTATACAAGCAAATGGCTATACAGGAAATAATGACATAACAGATATGGGGAAGGAAAGTATTCAGCAGTACCTCTTCCCTAACTTGTTCTAATTACTTAGATTGTTTAAGGTAGAAGATCTCTCATCCAACGCCTTTTTAGTCTCCTCCTCATGTTCTGAGGTATGTCAGCTGTGGCCATGTCTCTTATTAGTCTGTTATTATGTCTGTTTAAATTAGTGTAAAATCGTTGATAAAAGGACGTTATATGTTGGTCAACTGTTGGAAAGTAGAGGTCAGTATGTAAAGTTTTGTTAGCCACGTAACCATGGTGCTTTTGTTATGAGTCGCAATAATTTTGATTGGAACGTTTGAAGTTTTTGTAGGTGGGTCTTTCTTGCGATACCGTATATTTGTGATGAATATGTCCATATGGGTTTAAGTAAGTATGTATATGTATTCAGTTTCTGCTTTAGTTCTAGTTTTGAAGATATAGAAAGAGAATAAAGTAGTTTGAGTCGTTTGTTAAGTGTCTTACGTTTCATTTTAACATGTGTGCCCCATGCCATCCTTCTATCAAAGATGAATTCTCAAGTAAAGTATCGTGTCCGTTTGAGGAATTTGATTGTTGTTAATATAAACTGCAGGGCAGGTGTTTATGTTTGGATTTGTCATGATTAAGTCGAATAATCATTCAAAGCCACAGTTTGAAAAAATCTTGTAAGAATTGTTGTATCGTCCACATAAGTAGCTGTCAAGGTCTCATCGTTAATACGTATATCGTAAGTGTGTACAATGTAAAGTAGAGGGGCTAGTATTGAACCTTGGGGAACTCCTGCCAAGATTGGACAGACAGAAGATATTTTCGAGTCTTGCCGAACTGAAAAAAATCTTGCGAAGAGGGATGATTGAAAGATATTACGTGTATAAGAACGGTATTACGTGTATGGCAATATAGTCTTAAGTTTAAAGAGAAGATCCTGTTGCCAGACTCTATTAAACGTCTGATAAACATCATAAAATACTCCAGTTGCATGTAGTTTTGTTCTAACGCTCCAGCAATGTAGTCTATTACTCTGTGTAACAAACTTCGAACAAATTAAATTAAAAAAAAAAAAATTATAACTTTTTCAATTTCAATCTTCTTAATTATAAACTTAAAAATATTTCTTGAGAACAATTTCTAGATACTAACTAAACTGTTTAAGGTAATATGAAAGTACATTCTTGGAGTATTTCAGGGTCATTATCGTAATTTTTTCAATAATCAACATAATTGTGATCGACCAAAAATGTTCAAAAACTTAGGCCGTACGCCGTACGCGTATTTTATTCGAAACTACTGGACCCATTTTTTTCAAATTTGGACACAAAATCAAAGGTCACTCGAGGATGATCTTCATTCATCGACATTACTATCCGCCTTTTAATTTCAAAATAGCACCCGAAAAACCTTCGTTGCTATAGACTGTAGCTCCTAAACGAATGTACCGATTTCAATGAAACTTCGCTAAAGTCATCTTCTTGACGCCCTTTAAATTAATCTATACAACATACTTCAACGAAAAGAAGCTGGAAAATAGTTACGAGGGATGGTAAAATTTAATTCCGAATAACTTAAAAAGCATACACTTTTTTGTCGATATTGTGATAACATGTTTCAAAGGTATCTAAATTTCCAACAAAATGCAGGAAATTTCATCGAAATCAAAGCATTATTAGTAGATATATCGTAATTTTTAAATAATTTTTGGTTTATTATTTTTAATGATCAACCATTGTGATCGACCGCAAAATTCAAAAACTTAACCCCCTCTCAAAATTTTATTGTTTCTGTACTACTTTTATGCTATTGAATAGAAAATAAATAGAATGTATAAACAAATTAAATGAAAACTTTCAAACATTTATTTTCACCTTTATCAATCAAATATCAATACTGCAATGTGCATTTATGTAAAGTTATTTTTTATTTAATTAATTTCACAATGCCAGGATACTAAATAAATGTTTCATGATAAAATATAATTAAACAATTACTGTAGGTCTCTAAAGAGACGACTTTTGCGAAAATGGATCCACCTGTGTGGAGCAGGCAATGCAATTCAATTTAGGAGGGAGACAAGAGCGGAGAGGGGGAGCTAGATAAAGATCTGATAAAGGTTGCAGTGGCCGCAGGTGGACTGCAATAGACCAGGGCTCTGTAGTCTGTGTAGTCTATAGTCTGTAGTCTATCCCTTCCAACCGCCCATTTCTCTCTACTGTAATACAATGCGCCTAATTTTCTACATGGTTATAAGAACATGTCATACAATAATAAACATATGTATAGTTATTTTCTTATGTATTAATAATAATTTCAATTTAAAATATTCAATACTGAATGCAGAAAATCCTCTAGGTAGTTAATATGTAATTCTATACTAACCATAACAAATTGTAAGTAGAAAAATCAGGTGGAAAAATCAGGTGTGTCCACTCATGCGAGTTTCCAACTAATTTTATAAAAAAACAACTTGAAATATGTCTATTAAAAAAAAGAAAGAAAAAGAATTACATTAATGTTCTTAGAAACCGCTTAGAGAACGATATCTTTGATAGCGAACCATAATTAAAATTAGCATTAAAATTAAATATAATGCAAATTTGCCGAAACCGGTCCGATTTACACGATTTCTTTTAGATTTGTCAGAAATTTAAAAATAAGGATAATCGTGTGTTTTTCATATTCAGAGAGCTCTGAAACGTATAGACGTTTTTGTGCTAAATTCTATAGAAAAACAGGATTTTCTTATTTATTGTGTAGTCGCCGTTGCGCCTAATTGGTTTCACAGGCATCGCACAGACGACTATAAATTTTATACATAAATTATTACAGTTCAGTCATTCAGTGTGAAAAAATTGGTAAATTATAAATAAATTCGTTTGGTAAAAAATTGCTGAAGAATTTTTCTCAACTATATGTTTATTGGAGTGCTGAATCTGAAAATCGAGTTATCAACTTGACTCGGATATGACTTCACCATAAGAATGGCAAAAAACATAAAATTTCGGAATTTGATTTAGTTTTTCGCTCATAACTTCGAAATAACGCATCCTAAACCAGTATCAAAAGGAAAGCTAATAAAATTACCTGAAAAATAAAACTTAAACCAGCTCTAGTTTATAAAGTCAACAATAAGAACACCCTGAAAGATAGTGTCAGATAGCCTTTTTTAAAGCGATCTTAAGCAGTCCATAAGATATCTAAGTAGCATGTCTGTGGCTGTGTTAGATCTGCCAATTCCTATTATGTTCAAACATTAATACAAATTTATCAATTTTCGGATTTATGCCAGGTTTTAAGAAATTCTGACCCACTGTGCATCGGCAAACCTTCAAATCGAAAATTGGTTCAGAACGAGGCAACAAAATTGGTTCACTCTTTCTCGAGATAATCTTAGGACAGACGTGTTTTTCAAACTCAGAGGACTCTGAAACGGACAGATTCGTTACATAGTAGCGGTGGGAAAATAAAAAAAGAAGGTTGTAAAACACTTTTTAAAGAAATAAAACCTATTTCAGATATTAATATATTCAGAATTTATCGACTCAAAATAAAATATAATGATAACATAATAACATAATGAATAAGGATCAGTATTATTGTTACGACAGTGACGCTAATAATATACCTGATAACAAAGAGAAAAATAGCGGATATTCAACTGTATAAAACTCTATAAACATAATTCCAATAAGTTTCAAATTAAATAAATGTATGATAATTACATAAATATTTAAATATAGTCTTATATAGCTTCTTTTTCTCCAGTAATAACTGAAAATAGTTTTTTTTTTTTTTTTTTTTAGCTTTAATGTTTTATTCACACCTGTCATAATGCTAATGACAACCAGTGAATGTGAGATCGATTGATTAATAGAATTGTCATGAAAGGCATGAGGAGGATCAGTGCCCAGCGGCACCTCACTCGGCGTGATATCTACATTAGGCGAGGAGGTCCCTCATCCAGCTCCTCTTCAGTCTCCTACAGACGTTACCGGGCATATTCGTAGTGGCCATGTCATTTATAAGTGTATTAGTATGTCCTTGTAAGTTGTCATGGAATCGTTTGTAATGAATACGTATGTGTTCGTTAACAGTCGGCATATGGAGGTCAGTATGTAAGGTTATGTTGCTAACGTACCAAGGTGCTTTTGTAATTGTTCTGAATGTTTTTGCTTGAAAGATTTGAAGTTTGTTTAAGTGAGTCTTTTTAGCAGTTCCAAATATCTGTGATGCGTAAGTCCAAATAGGTTTTAGTAAGTAATTGTATGTGTTCAATTTCTGTCTAAGTTTTAGTTTTGAATTTTTTGAAAGAAGTGAACTCAGAATTCTTAATCTTTGATTTAAAGTTTTTCGTTTTTTGATTATATGTGGGCCCCACGTCATTTTTCTGTCAAATGTCAGACCAAGGTAGTGAACGGTGTCTGTCTGTGGAATCTGTGTATCGTCAAGGAAAACTGGAGGGCATGTTTCATGTCGAAGCGTAAATGTGATGTGCTGTGATTTGTCTTGATTTAGTCGGATTTTCCAAATTTTGAACCAGTCATGTAATCTTGTTAAATACTGTTGTAGGGTCTGTGAGGCGTATGTTGGATTTTTGTGTCTTGCTAAAATTGCTGTGTCGTCTGCATATGTCGCTGTTAAAATGTTGGGACTACAAGGTATGTCATGGGTGTATGTGATATAGAGTAGTGGAGCGAGTACTGAACCTTGAGGTACTCCTGCTGAGATAGACCTGATGGAAGATAGTTCTGACCCGTGTCGGACCGAGAAAAATCTATCGGAAAGGAAGGATTGTAGAATTAGATAATATGTAGGTGGGAGTATTGTCTTGAGTTTAAAGAGAAGACCCTGGTGCCAAACTCTGTCAAACGCTTGAGCAACATCCAGAAATACGCCAGTTGCATATACTTTCTGCTCTAGTGCTGTAGATATGTAGTCCGTTACTCTATGTAGTTGGTGTATAGTTGAGTGATGTGCCCTAAATCCAAATTGATGGTCAGGTATTATTTGGGTGTTTGTTAGTATATCAACAAGTCTTTTGTTCAGTAAGCTTTCAAAAATTTTGGAACAGATAGGTAGTAAGCTGATTGGTCGGTATGAGGAAGGTGAGTTTTTGTCCTTTTTAGGCTTGTGAATCATTATTATATGTGAGTATTTCCACTGTAGGGGAAATTTAGTTGTCCTCAGTATTGCATTATAAATAGTTGTCAAAAGCACTAGAGCTTTTCTAGGCATTTGTTGGAGCACTTCAGCGTTAATCAAGTCATGTCCAGGAGCTTTTCTTTTAGGCAACTTTTTGATTTGTTCAGCAATCTGTGAAGGTGTGAATGAAATAGGAGGTGAAGTTAGTTGTAAGGGCATGTCTAAAGTGTTTAGTACGTTGTTATCGTGCACAGTGTTAGTGAAGTCTGTGTGTGGTACAAAAACAGAAGAAAGATATTCGGCAAAGAGTTCTGATTTTTCTCCGTCCGTCACGGCCCAGGAATCATCTTGTCTTCGAAGGGGTGCTGACACTTCACGATGCTTAATAAGGTTTTTGGTATGTCTCCACAAGCTTCCATCGTCGGTTGAGAGATTTCTGATGTAGTTGTCATAGGTTGTTCGTTTGAATTTTCCAATCTGTCGCTTGAGTTCATTATTAAGTCTGTTGTAAGTTCGTTTATCTGATGGGAGTCTGTCAGTCTGCCATATTTTGCGAGCTCTCCTCTTCGCTCTGATCAAGTCCCTTATGTATTGTGGGTACATTGGTAGGAACTCATATTTTTGAGGTTTTGCTACTGATGAAGACCATGCTGCTTCTTGGATATTTCGTGTGAAGTATTCAACGGCATCCTCAAGTTCTTCTTCGTTTTTAATGGATAGAGGAACAGAGAGAGCAGTGTCCAATTGGTTCCTGTACCTGTCCCAATCCATTATGCCATTGATCAGGGACAGTTTTTTTGTAGCTTCACAAGGCTCTTCAAACAATACCAAATGCAAAAGGGAATGATCAGAGCAAAGATCTGAACTCGTTGTTATAGTGTGAGGTGTTGTTCGGAGTCCTTTAGTTATGAAAAAATCGAGTAAGTCTGGTGTTTTCCGTCTAGAAGTTGGCCAGTACGTGGGTGAATTAGGTGATATTGTGTCTAATGAAAGCTCATAAAGAACATACCTAAGATTCCTTCCTCTTGGAGTAGATAGTCTGGATCCCCAGAACTGATCTTTGGCGTTGTAGTCGCCTCCTGCAACAAAGCATCTACCAAGACGTTTAAAGAAATTACTAAACATCATGGGTGTCAGAACATACCTCGGAGGGCAATAAACCGCAGCAAGAGTAATGTTTTGTTGTTGTGTTGATAGTGTAATGGCTGTAGCTTGAATCTCTGGTGTTATGGGTAATTGTAAAGGATTATGTTTTAGAGTTGTTTTGATAATTATGGCAGTGCCTCCATGTGAAGTTCCATCTGGGTGGTCAGTTCTGTAGATTTTGTAACCACGGATGTAAAATTTAGAATGTGGTGTCAGATGTGTTTCTGTTATTAGTGCAATGTCAATGCGTTTCTCGTGTAAGTATATGTCTAGTTCGGTTCTATGTTGATTCAGTCCGTTTGCGTTCCATAGTATAATAGACATGGAGCCCACAGTCGTCTGATTACGGGGCATATTTTTGGGTAAGAGCGAGAGTAGCCTGAGATAGCTGTTGTAGAAGACTGAAGAGGGGCTGTATGAGGTTATTGAGACCGCTAATCAAATGTATGATATCACCTGAGGAGGTTTCAATAGTAGGGAGCGTTTGGGCAATGCCCCTACTCATACCTTTAGGCCTTTGTTCTTGGTTTGTTGCCGGTGCTGGTTTTCGTTGCTGTCTCTGCTGCTGTTGTTCTGGTCCTGAGGGAATCGGATGAGGGTATTGAGGCTGATGCAGTGGTGGGAACTCGTGTAGTTCTGGTGGTGGGGGTTGAACTCTAGGAGGCCTTTGCAGAGTATGGTTTCTTGTGCGGGTCTTCCTAAGCTCTTTCAGAGTTTCGCAACCTCTGTAGTTAGCAGGATGTGGTCCTTGGCAGTTGGCACATTTTGCGACTGTTTCTCGAGTCTTTGTACAGGAAGTGCTTTCGTGACCCATACCACACCTTACACACCTCGGCTGGTGGTTGCAGTACGTCTTGGTATGGCCATACTGCTGACAACGTACGCACTGCGGAATGATCCTTTTTTTCCTTGGCTCTTCGATCTTCACGTGTGTGTAATACAGGAATTCAATGTCGAAAATTTTATCATTGAACGTTGCTTTTGACACATCAACGAAAAACATTGGCAACGGTGTTTTGAATCTTGATATAACATTTACGATGTTGGTTGCCTCGTAACCATAGTTGGCAAGTTCCTGTTTTATGGTCGCTGGAGGTGTGGCGTGGTGTAAATTTTTAATAACTATTCGAGGCGTTTTATCTTCCGGGAGTTGATATGTGTGAAAATCAGCTCCACCCCTTCTAAGACTGGTCACTAACCTACGGTATATTTCTGCGTTTTCTGGATACACGCTGACTCCTCTCATAGACGTTTTCAACCTGAAACTGTTAGGGCCACCTTCATTGTGAAGATAGGTTACTAATGCCGTGTAGTCTTTCACATCGTTTATGTGAATAGGTGGAGGTCTAATAATAATGGGATTATTATTTGCTGGCTGTCTATCTTCCGGAGTATTTGATAAAACTTCGAATCGATTGTTAGTAATAATAGTATCACTAACCTTTATTTGTTTATGACGTGGATCTCTGTCTGAAGCTACATGTCGTTTTCGTCCAGACACAACTTCCCAGGACATAGCTTCTGGTGCATTATCGTGGTTGACTTCAGTTGGTGAATCGTTTGAAGCCGAAGTTTCCGTCATTTTTAGCGGAAGAATCCGCTACACCAGTAATTTTACTTCAATTGATTGCACTTATTTAACTCACGAATATGGAAGAGATAAAGGAAATCAACATGCAGTTAATTGACTTAAACTTGTGATAATTCAATAGAATTTGGAGAGAGAAATAAATTACGTTTGTAACCTTCAATCAATCACCTGTTTCTCCATCGAATCAAGTATATATCCTGAAAATAGTAATTTAAAATTGAGTAACAGCAAAAAAAACAAAACAAAAAATACATATGATGTAACACTGTTTTCCCGCTCAGTCTCTAAAAACGTTCATTAGATTTGATAAGGGTCAGTTCAAAAGTAGTACCTGCACGTGACAGTTAACGGGACAATAGCTGCCATCTCCACGACAGATACTGTCAACTATCTAGCAATATCTGATAACACGGTAGCAGTTGATTTTTATTTTGGAGAAACGTCTGTTTTTTTTATAGTTATATCTTAATATCATTATCATGATAATCAGATATTGGAAAGATATGTGAATTATTTTGGGATAGAATGGACACAAGTTTAAATCAGAGATAGCTCCAAGCTATGTTCACTTTTATTACGTTTAAATAATGTTTAGAACACTAAACGCCAATATATGCATGATATTTCTTAATCTAAAAATATTATGTATTATTATCACTTATCAAAAATATTTATAATCAGTGAGTTTGTTATCGAGAAGGATATGAGTATTAGTATTGATTGTCCGGCGTGGGGAAGTGGAGTGTTCAGCGGCTCCCCTACCTATCTTGATTTTATTATAGAATTTTAAGCGACAAGACTTCTCATTCAGCTTCTTGTGAGCCTCCTAAATCTCATACGAATCAGAACAAAATTACCCAGAAACATTTTTTTTTTTAATTTTTTTTTCTTATCTCACCTGTCAAAAATATTGACAATCAGTGAGATTTTTATCATGAAGAATATGATTATTAGCATTAATCGGCGTGAGGGTAAGGAGTGCTCAGTGACATTCTTTGATTTTATTAACGATTTTAAAGCGAGAAGATCCCTCATCCAGCTTCTTTTGAGACTCTTGAGTCTGTTATCGGGAATGTTAGTTGCCACATCTTGAATGAGGGTGTTAGGTTAAGACCATGTAAATTATCGTAAAATCTTTTATAGTGTGACTAATGGGCTTAAGTAGAAATGTATGTACTCAGTTTCTGTTTTAGATTTAATTTTGAACTTCTTGAGATAAGTCAATATAATAATCCTTGTCTGAGATTTGACATTCTTCTTTTTTTGTTAACATGTGATCCCTATGGCATTCTTCTGTCAAATGTCTAGATGTCCCAATGTAAATTGGGGAGCAAGTTTCATGACTAAGAGTGAATGTAATATGTTGGAATTCGTCATGGTTGAGTTGAATTTTCTAAAGTTTACACTAATCATTTAGTTTTGTTAGACGATAAAGTTTGTGAGGCTTTATTGTGAGGATTTTTATGTCTTGTTACGATTGTTGAATCGTATGCGTAGGTCGCTATATTTCCGGCACAGTTTAGAATATCGTGTGTTTATATTATGTATAGCATTGGAGACAGTATTGTTAAAACATGTATAAACCTGTAAACTTGAGGAGATCTTTTTGTAACTTAGATATTTTTTTATAAATGTTTGAATTTTTTTTCGAAGGTTAGATAGCTTAAAATTTTTCTTAGCGAATATTTACAAATAAAAACGGAATTGATTTTATTATTTACTTACGTTGAGCAGAAAGTTCGACCTAAACAAATATATGAAAATTCTTATATCTGAGGTGTCTATCCATGAGATTTATTTTTAGGAATAAAGTTTAAAATATATTAACGCTATAGATATTTCCATTATGGATATTTAATGAGGTAACGGATTAATTATAGTTTTGACTCCGAGCTTCGGGAAGTCATTTTCCTGCTTGCATCAGATTCTCATGCCTTTTAGCCATTCATAGTTTGTATGCATCATTAGAGCTTGGACAACAAGGACTCGCTAAAAGGTCGTAATCTGCATAATGATCCCGTCGTAGCTGTAATGAACCGTTCGCTGAAAACCTCGACATTTAGGCATCAGCCAAGGAAAAAATTCAACCGAATATTTGTTTAAGAAAGTTATAATTTACTTCTAAATCGATTAATCTGTTAATATTTATTATATTATTCCGTTAACAATTAAGAAAAAGAGGTCTCTGTTAAAAAAATCAATGGACTACACAAGTGATTAGGTTATGGTTTAACAGCAACTTTCTTTAGAGTCCTTTATCCTAAAAATAAATTTATATAAGACGAAGAGCACTCTTTTATGGCGCTATCTGCTTGGTGTACAAGTAAACAAATTAAGGAAGGCCCTAGTAGTCCGCATGCGCTAGTTTTAGTCCAAAAATACATTGTGCCTTCTACACGGTCACTTGACCGCAATACAGACCCCTTTTTATGAAATTAACTAATTAGTTATTGAAGGAAGTTAGTCGACTGTTCATAGGAATTCGAGTCTATTTTATCATGGTGATAAATATTCAGGACGCAGTCTTTTTTAATTTTTTTTATTTATTTTTTTTATTTATTTTTGCCAACGTTTCAACCCAAACATGTGGGTCACTTCAGGGCTGAAAATGTTTTTTTAAAATTACAATCAGAGATATAATAGTATACGACCGCTAATTATAAATAATAAACTATAGTGATTGATGGCACATGAATCTTAACTAATATTGTAATACACATATTAAAATAGTCATACAAACTAAAAATAAAAAATAATGTATATAATCAAAACATTTTCAGCTCTGAAGATGAACCACATGTTTGGGTTGAAACGTTGGCAAAAATAAAAAAAAATTTTAAAAATACTGCGTCCTGAATATTTATCACCCAACTAATTAGTTAATTAATTAACATCGGTCCAACATTTCATGAATGGCTTTATCTTATTTTGACCAAGAACTTTTTTATTTACGTAAATTCTCAGAAATTGGGCGTTTTCAATTAGGAGATCGGTAATAATTGTCTATTGTTTTGGTTGGTTGTATAGTAAAGGGGTAAAACCTGTTGTTCATCAACGCCGTTAATTAATATTATATATTATTATATCTTTTGGTTATGAATATTTCTCTACCGAACTCTGACTGTTTCCCTCCAAATCCTTCTCATGTCTAGTACCCTAATCGCCTGCCATGTTAACTCTCAATCCCTCCCTACCCACTATGACGAATTCCTTCAATATTTCACTCAAAATGTTTACCATATTTTATATCTAATCTATCTCCGAAACGTGGCTTAAACCTTATATCCCCATTTATTAATTTACATTTATTGGTAGCATCAGATGGGACGAAGACGGATGGTGTATATGTGTCCGATTTTGTGAATTCGGTGAATATTGCTAAATGTTCTAGCAGTGAGCTAATTGTTTTATGGAATAATTCTATATATTTTGCAGTTCTGTATTTTCTTTTTTAAATTTGGAGAGCAGTAGATATAATTTAGGCTGCATAAAAGTCAAAGGGGGTTTTTCATTTTGAACTATATTTAAGTTGATCTGTTTCAACTTAAATATAATTCAAAATTGTCTATTTAATGAGGCTCTTAAAAGTCACGAATTTTATCTCAATTTCTTTCTATTTGAAAGGTATGATAATTTTACAACAAAATCAATGAAATATGGCCTACTAAATCATTAGGCCGTTTAGTATGACTGTCATCCCCGAAAATGACAAAATATCACGAAAAAAAACAACACTAAATCAATGTTTAAGATTTCTAAATTCACTTCTTTAGAAACATTCTAAACTAAAAATTAGACAGAAATTTAATACAAGCAATTATTTTCCCAAGAAATAAGTAATTAAACACATTTTCAACTTTTCAAGTCGGGATTCCCGAGTATGGTTTTCTGTTAGTATTGGCAAGCTACCTATTAAACCGGCCTCGGATACCGTAACACCGCAGCCTACAACAGCTCACAGGCCAATTGCCGTTCTGACCGCTATTCACATCGCGAGCTAATTGGTTTGGGATAGACGATACCTCGGCGTGTCGAAAATACCTGATGGTTCAACCTTCACATCAGCATATCGCCTGGTTCGTGGTTTCATTTCCATTTTCAGATCCTTATTTGTATCATCCGTGTCTATACTAATATAATGCATTTTCTTATTTTTATTTTACGGTGAAAACATTTTTTTTTTTATCTTTAACTGTTTATCCGCACCTGTCATCGTATTGACAATCAGCAGATGTGTTGTTGGCTTAATGAGATTGGCATTATAGGCATGAGGAAGGATAGTACCTAGCAGTACCTCTTCCTGGTCATTACTTTGGCGAGGAGATCTCTCATCCAGCTCCTTTTAAGTCTCCTCCTGATGGGCATGTCAGTCGTAGTCATGTCGGTTATAAATCTGTTTGTGTGTCCATGTAGTTTGAGATGAAAACGAGAGTAGAGAGTACGTATGTGTTGGTCGATAGTTAGTTGTCGTAAGTCGTTATGTAAAGTTTTGTTATAAGTCGTAAAATTTTGGATTGAAATGACTGTAGTTTTTGTAAGTGCGTCTTTTTTGTCGAGCCGTAAATCTGAGAGGCGTATGTCCAGATGGGTTTGAGTAGGTAAGTGTATGTATTTAGTTTTTGTCGAACTTTCAATCCCGATTTAGAAAAAAGTGAGTACAGTATTTTCAGTCGCTTGTTTAAGATCTGTCGTTTCATTTTGACGTGTATTTGTATGATAAAAAAAAACAATAGTCTAAATTAAATTAAGTTAACTTACAATTTTAAAGAGATTATATATAAAATAAACATTGAAGAATAAAATAAAAATAGATAAGAATAAATTGAAAATAGCAAATAAACTTGATATATGTACAGAAATATGAACCAACAACATACATTGAGAATAAATATAAATAAAATACTGAAAAATAATGCTGAAAAAAAAATTACAAAATGTTCTATCATGAATCCTTAGAGTCACCTAAGTCTGAGAAACATTGACGGCAACGGGTCTTATGACCGTTAAGGTCAAATGTTAATGAGATATGTTAATATATATCTATGTTACCATGTACCACGTGAAAGGCCAAAAAGGAGATGGATAGATTGAATCAACAAAGATGTATTAGAGATATATAGCGTACAGATATCTGGAAGGAAATATCTAAAGATTGAGTAGGATTGTTGAGGCGGCAAAATCAATAACATGATACAAATTTATGTATCGCTTTATATATGTTTTAAACTATTATTTTTTTCGCTCAGTTAAATTTACCGAAATAGAGTTACATTGCCTATGTCAATAAATGTGTAGATAATGTTTTGATTTATTTAATGTTTTGACCTAATAATTTTTGCAGAATAAAATTTCGATGTTAACCTAAAACCTCGAATGAGCTTAAAATTCTACGAAAAAATTAGTTTCTATGGATACATTTATTTTATTTACAATTCCAACTCTTCATAGATATACTGGAAAGCTAAATATACCCTCATACTTTAATTACGAACTTTTTTTCAAAAACTTTCTGGACTATCATCAGAGCTCTCTGGTACGTCAACAACATTACATAACGATCTAAATATGCCAACAGTTAACACATAATAACACAACATACTAACGCAATAATAAAGATTTCACAAAAACTTACACGGACATACAAACTTACTGATTTAAAGCATGTAAAGAATCTGGATGAAGAATCTCCTCGCTTCACTATAAACATAAAAATCAAGACAGAATGTGATACCGCTGGACACTCCTCTCCCTCAAGCCTATCAATGCCTTACTATTACTACTCTATTTCCCGACACAATACTCACTGGTTGTCAGTATTTCTGACGTCAGTGAGTAAATACATATATTTTTAAAAACGTTACTTCTATTAAAATGAAAATATATTAGTTGAAGTGATTTATTGTAAAGACAGGATTTGTTTTCTTATTTCTTATGGTATACAATTTTTGAATATTTTATTCAACACTTGGGAGGAACAATATTCAAGTTGGTGGACCTGAGAACAAACTCCATCTCTTGTTGAATAAATAAACGGGTGTGTATAAGAGGAAGTGGCGGAAAATATAACAGAACGATCTTATTTTCTCCCGAGGTAGCAGAAATCCTCCACTCGACGACTTATATAAACATCAAGATAGAAGCACTGACTTCAATTCTAGCAAATAAATTGTATTTAATATTGAATACATTAATCATATTGTGGTATTAATTCACCTTTAATTCAGAAAAGGGTTTTATATAGGGTAAATATAATAATATATTTACGGGATAGCTAAAAAGACCCGTATTCATCAAATTAAATCCTGTATTATAAGATATATTTTATAACCTAATAATCTCACGCAAAGTTTCAATTTATTTTTTCATTATGTATTATAATAAACATAATTGCATTAATACACTTTTGATTTATGTTACACAACATTTATTTATAAAACAAATATATAATAAAAATATCAATTTTTTAAAATATTGATCATTTAAAATTATTTCTTAATGTACCCTTAACTTAATCAAAGTGAACATATAGCTTATTAAACAAGAAAGTTTTTGTAAAAGTAATTTATCTGTAGTATAGTTGAAGGTTGATACATTTTTAAAACAGAACTTATTTTATCTACTCAAAATTCCTCTTTGAATTGATTTTATTCTAGTTTACCGTGAAGTAATTGTAATTACATAAATTAAACTCTTGAGGTATATAATCACTCCTATATATATTTCTCTCTACTTACGGGAACCTTGTATATATACATATATATACAGCATGTTTCAGGGTTAAGTGACTAAACTGCGAAAATGAACTAATGACCTCAAAACAAGAAAAAAAATTCTCTGAAGGTATGTCGGCAAACGCTTTGTTTAGCAGATATTCACACCTAAAAATTTTCGTTGTTATGAATTATTTCATATTACATGCTTACATGCTTCATATTACATTCATATTAAATGCTGTTCAAAGCGAAGGTATGTCCGCAAACGCTTTGTTTAGGAGATGGATTGGCCGGGCAGGACCAGTGGCTTGGCCTGCGCGCTCTCCAGACCTGACACCTCTGGATTTTATTATTTGACTTGACACTGAAAGTCTATGCAAGACGGGTCAATGTATATATATATCGCTTTGAACAACATTTAATATGGATTCAATGTTTGCATTTAATTAATAAAGTAGTTGGAGCAAATAACGTTTTACTTAATATAACGTAAATAATTCATAACAATGAAAATCTTTAGGTGTGAATATCTCCTGGAGCGTTTGCGGACATACCTTCAGAATAATTTTTTTCTTGTTTTGAAGTCCTTAGTTCATATTTTCAGTATTGGCCACAACCCTGAAACACTCTGTATATAAACGATGAAATTTAAATAAACTGTGCAAAAAAATAATAATTAGATGTACATTAATTATTAAACTGCCAAATGAATTACGATTAGTAAGAGGGTAGTTAGTACTAATTAAGAAGTTGTAGGACATTGGCTCTGTTACTACAATGTACTTTCTATACAAATTTCTTACCTGCAATCAACTAAAGTAAGTTAAAAATAGGCATTTTTTTTCCCAGGATATTTTCATTAAGGTGGTTTGTGTTTTCATGAACGTAAAAAGAATAAAATCACTAGCGTAGTAGTGTGGTAATTTTATTGCATGCTATTAATGGTGGTGATAAAATTAACAATTCTTTTCCTTAATGATGAATAAATTTTACAAGTTTATATATCTGCAAAACAAAATATATTCCAAAACATACAAAACTCCTCTGGTTGAATTTCATAATGTATATCGATTAAAAAAAAAAAAAATACTATGTGCGCTTTAGGCTACACGATAGAAGCGAAAAAAATCAACAAGGCGAGTTTTAGCACTAGGGGAATACCCGATACCCCATAATGCTAAAATAAAATAATAAAGAAATCCAAAATTAAACATTTCTCTGATTATGCGGTTTGATGGGGATAAAATTAACATTTTTTTTTTTCTTTAATGAGAGATATGAAAAAAGGATACAAGTTTATATGTCTAGAAAACAAAATAGATTGCTAACAAAAAAGTCAAATGGTTTCTCGTAGTCAATGAACTATTTCTGTGAAAATGTTCCTTTTTCTGCGACTGCTACTAATGCCTACCACAGATTTTTAATTTATTTTTTTAAATTATATGGAACTTTTTTATTCTATATGGGATTTTATTAGCCTAATCCATCTTCAGTCAGATCCACATCCACCTCCAGAATCGAAATGAAATTATTTACTTGATTGAGCCGAATATTGATATAGTCTTTTCTGAATTCTCTAAATATCTTTATCTAAAACTTGTAAGGAAACTCCAGCCGTGTTATATATATTTATTTATAAAAATTTTATTAATGCTTTATAATGCTTGTTATCGAAATGTTTGTGGTTTAAAAGAATTGAAAAGAAATCCTTTATATACGCAGAGCTCAGATTTCTTTTAAAAAAACAAATATATTTTTCCAATGAGAAACAAGCAGAGTATTATCGGCTGAGGTTAGCCAACGAGAGCGCTAAGGAAATAGCGGAAACGGAAGGCCGGGGGCTGCTGCTACCGAACCAAACAGGAAATTGAAATGCTCTCGGAAAATCTCGATCCTATACGATCCATCGCCCCTCGAGTGTCTTTCTATGAGAGGCCTCTTTTGTCTAAGCATACTACTCTGGTTGCAATCGATATTTTAAGAGAAAATATTTATTCGTATTGACTAAAAAAAAAACAAAAAAACTGTTGTGTGTGCTTTAGACCACGAAGTGGAAACATCAAGGCGAGGTTAATAATATGAAATATATTTTTTTTTTGTCCTATATTCACAAAGTAATAACATTTAAAATGTATAATTATAATTGTATACAAATTAGTCTAGTAACCTTTTTCCTGAATAATGCTCATTTATACCATGCTGTAAAAATAATAGGGTGTACGAAAAAAAAATGACCGTTTTTCAAATAAATAATTGGATTATTATTTCTCTTTGATATAAAATACAATTTTGTTTTTATTATTTCTTAATGATATTTACAACTATTAAAGAAATAGATCTAGTAAATTTGAACATATGGATATAATGACGTGCAAACACTTGC